CAAGCAAATTGGCCACAATTAGAAGAAGCTCTAGCACTTTGGTTTGATCAGGCTATAAAACATAATCTTACAATTTCGGGAGATATTCTTAAAACAAAAGCTCAAGCATTAGCTAAAATTACCAACATAAATGATTTCAAAGGTAGTGATGGGTGGCTCTCTCGTTTTAAACATCGACATCATATTTATTTGGTAACTAAACAAGGTGAGTCAGCATCTGCTCCACTTGAATTATTACCACAATATTGTGAAGAACTTCAAGAAATTCTGAAAAATTATGATCCTAGTGACATTTACAATTGTGACGAGACTGCACTTTTCTGGCAACTTGAACCATCAAAGACTTTAGCTCATGGCGAAACATCTGGTACAAAGCAATCCAAAGAGAGTTTCCATCATGTTGTCTTGCAATTCTAAAGGTGAAAAACTTAAACCATTGTTAATTCATAAGTATGAAAATCCTCGTGCTCTCAAGGGGATTGACAAAATCAAACTTCCAGTTTATTATTACTGGAATAAAAAAGCCTGGATGCAGGTCTCAATTTTTCAGCATTGGATCAAGAAAGTCAATGAACAAATGAAAAAAGAAAAAAAAAAATTATTATGTTACTTGACAATGCTTCATCACATGTAGGAGAAGATTTGGATCTATCAAATGTTAAACTTCACTTTCTTCCTGCCAACACTACAACCTCTTGATGCTGGAATAATTTGGTCATTTAAATGCCATTATAAAAAACTTCTTTGTCAAAATCGTATTGAAATGTATGACCTTTATAACATAACAGAAAATAAAGAATCTATTTCAAAACTTACCATTTATGATGCAATTAAATTTGTATCGAAAGCTTGGGAAAATGTTAAAGGTGAAACCATTGTTCATTCTTGGGATAAAGTTGGTATTTTACCAAATGATGACTTAGATGATTATGAAGCTGAAGATGGTATTGAATTAGAAATGCAAAGTATTATAAATGAATATTATAGAGAATTGCAAACAGTTGAGGACTACGTTAACCAAGAATGCAATTGTGAAGCTGAAGCAATGCTCTCATTAGAAGAAATCGTTGCTGTTTTAAATAAAGAAGAAGAAGAGGGGGAGGAAGAAAATATTATTCGTATTAACACTCAGGATGCACTACAAGGTTGTAAAGACCTTCTTATTTATATACAACAAGAAGTACAAGGGTTTGTAGTGGAGGGGCATATATTAGATAGTTTACAAGAATTAAAAAAAAAATTGGATTCTTATATTAAAATTGATTAATAAAATTTTAAAATTTATTGTAACACATTATAATGTTCCACGTGATTTTATATGAACTTCCGTTATAATGACAATCCCGTTATACTGACATTTTTCGCTTGTCCCATGAGTGTCATTATAACGGGAGCAACTTGTAGTATCAGGGAAAGAAAAAAGAATACCATTCAAAGCTCTTAAATATATGGAAATATCATTTTATTAATTTTCAAAAGGGCGATTTGCAATTTTTAAAATATATAGTTTATTATAAAAAAATACAAATATTTAATGATGATAATAGATATAATAATAATAATAATAATAAATAAAAAATTTTACTTTTTTCAATTTAGTGTTGTATTTACACTATTATTAGGATCACTATCAAGATTTAATTTACCTTTACCCTTTCTATCTATTCTATTCATTTGATGTGATGGTAATGGCAGTCTTTTTTTTTGTAGTGGTGATTGCTGTTGTTGATTTTTATTATTGTTAATAGATGATGGTGGTAAAGGCATCATTCTTCTTCTAACTTTTAATGGCATATTAGGATTGAAATTTGAATTTGGTATACGAATTGGTTTACCACTATGTGGTGTATAATAAGGAGGATTTAAGATATGTGGTGGCTGTTGTGGTTGATGTAAAAAGATGTTTGGATTTGGTATTCTTGGTATTCTTGGTAATTTTTGTCTTTGTTCTGGAGTTAAAAATTTTTTAATCCTTGGTGGCTTCATAATTGGACTAGATGACTTATTTTCGTTATTATTGTCATCTTTTGTATTTGGTCTTCTGAAATTTGGTGGGAGTGAAGGTCCAAATGGTTTCATTGGTCTTTTTATTGGCTTTAACATCATATTCTGTTGTGACATTTGTGGCGTTTGATTTTGTAAATCTTTTGATAAAGGTTGAAGTTGATTATCACTATTGCTATTGCTGTTACTATTATTATTTGAACCATCTTTACTATTTTGTTCTTGCTCTTCTCTCTGTCTAATTTGTTCAGATGATTCTAATAACTTTAACTTTGGTTTTAATTCTTGTGATTTTGAAATAGGAATTAAAGCTTGTTGTTGTTGTGATAATTGTGGATTATTAAACCTTTTTTGTGGATAGTATGATTGTTGTTGTTGTTGTTGTTGTTGTTGTTGTTGTTGTTGTTGTTGTAATGGTCTTTGTGGTGGCATCATTGGTCTTTGTTGTTGATATCTCATTGGTCTTTGCTGCTGCTGTTGAGGAACCATCATTGGTGGTTGTTGATACATCATTGGTCCCTGTCCTGGTGGCATGGCTGTTGGTTGAGGTTGTTGATAGTAATAATTTGTAGGTTGATTTGGCCCATAATATTGACCAGTGTAATCATCATAATAATAACCATTCTCATCATAATAATAACCATTCTCATCATAATAATAACCATTCTCATCATAATAATAACCATTCTCATCATAATAATAACCATTCTCATCATAATAGTAACCATTCTCATCATAATAATAACCATTCTCATCATAATAATAGTAACCATTTTCATAATTATAATAATCACTTTCATCATCATATTCACTATAACTGCCTTCCATTTCATCATAATAATAATTATCACCTTCTATCACCCCACTTTGGTAATCTATATTGTTATTGATATCATTCTTATAGTCATTATTATACATTTGTACTGCAGTCTCATTTAGTATTTTTTGTGGTTGTTTTTCAATATTTTCAATATCTGAAATTGTTTCATTTGTTTTAATGTTATCTTTGTCATTTGTTTCCACTACACGAATTTGGTTTTTGAAGATTGAAGTTGAATTTGTTGTCTTTTCCAATTGTTTAATTGTTGTATTTTCGTTATTTTGTTCAGACACAACCACAGCATCATCATCATCATCATTATTAGATTTCTTGGGCTTTTTGTTCTCATGATTTCTTTGTTTGGTGAAAAAATTTGATTTTTTTGGAGATTTTGGTTTTTGTGAATCAGGTATGTTTGCCTCTATGTTATTTTTGTTGATATTAATGCTATTATTATTATCATCAACTACTATAACACTATTATTGTTACTTACACTGCTATTGTTGCTGCTAACATCATTGTGATGCTTAAGAGAGTTTTTTCTAGAAACCCAAGGTATACTAAATGAACTCATTCTACTATGAGTTTTACGACCATGCAGTCTAGATTTATCTAATTCTTCTTGTTTTTTCAAAAGTTTTTCTCTCATGATTTCTTGCTGTTGTTGTTCCAGATCTTGTAAAAATTTATGTTTTTCTTTGATCAAAATCCAATCATTATTTTCATATTCCATTAAAGTGGATTTAGGCTCAATAAGAATCCATTCACCAAAATTTTCATTTAAAATAGAATCTTTATCACTATTTTCTGTTGAAGGATGGATATTCACTTCTATCCAAATATATGGGAATATATCATCTATAGTTTCAACAATTAAATGGCCATTAATTGGCAACTTTATCACACGATCAATCACATACCAATCCTCCCAATCTTCACTTTCATATTTATAAGATATTGAAGAAGTGGTTGATTGTGGTCTACGTTTGACACATAAAAATGATACAGTGGTTTTATTTGAGAGTTTTAGTTCAGATTGAGGTAAAGATCTAGAAGAGTAATCAATATGATCAATTGAATTTGAAGGGGTTGTGGTTGTGCACTGATTGATTGTTTTTTTACCTAAAGTTGATGATAAACTAAGCTTGTCAGAACTATCAACATTATCATCAAAATCTTCTTTAATCCCTTTTTTACTGAAAGAGTTTGGTATCAATTCATGTTGATAGGATTGATTATCAGTTGGCAATGATTCAGATGGTTTTGAATGTGATGAATGATCTACCAAATATTCCATTTTATTATTATTGTCAACATCTAATAATACACTATTGACCAATTCATTACTATTATTATTAATTTCATTAGGATTGGTGGTAATGATAGAAATGATACGTTCATCATAGGCAAAAAATAATTTTAAAGCATCTTCAGACATATAATTTACTCCTTTGTTATAAAGTTCAACCCATTTTTGATCTACAGTTGAATGTTTTAGTAAATCGTCATGATGTTTTCTATATGTATTTAAAGATTCAACAATTTCAGGAAGTACTTCTTCAAAAGATTCGTCAAAATTGTTTTTATTTATTGAGTAATTTCTCGTAACACTTGATTGATGACTTAGAGTGATGGAATCAGGTTCTTTAAATAAGATGTGAGTTTGTTTTTTCGATAAAAATTTATTTTTCTCATCATCGGTAATACTGGCATCAATCAATGGGTGCATGAAATCTTTTTCCTTGATAGTTTTAATTCTATATTCTACATAGTTTTCCAATAAAGCACATAATTTAGGATGTAAATTTGTACTATATCCTTGTTCTCTTAGATAAGCCAAGAATAAATGAATGCAAGCATTTGAACATTTTAACCATTCTTTATATGCATCATGAAAATTATCAAAAGTTTTAGTGCTATCGCCTAATATTGAAAGAGCCATTGATTTTAATAAGCGTTCTGGAGACATTTTGTTGATATGAGAATAAATAATTACTTTTGAAAAAAGATCAAATAGTAGAATGATTATTCCTTGGGTGTATTTTGGCAAATAAGATATAAATTGATTGAATAAACCTTTTTTCGAATCAAATTCCCATTCTAACAATAGCAATGATTAATAATTAAATATTAATGAATTATTAATAGAATATTGATAATTAGTAATAAAAAGGGAGTTTACCTAATTCGAATTTGATAAAACCTTCATAATAATCAAAAGGAATGATGATTTGTTTACAATTTCTCAAGGTACATCTCATACCAGCCACTATATTATGTATATTTTGATATTTCAACTCATCATCAGCTTCATCTTTATTTTCTCTTAATAGACAATTTATCAAATATCTTATTTCGTCAGCACTATCACCAATTCTAATTGGTTTAAAGATAAAACGTTCAGTCAAACCTCTTAGAGTTATTTGTTCAATACATAATTTTACTATTAAATGAGCCTCGGATAATGTAACTAAATGTTCAGTAATATCACGACGTTGTTTTCTCTTAGTGGAAAGTGTACGACGAATTGAATTTTTTGAGTTTATATTATTTTCTCCATATATATTATTTTTGTTGATATGTGAACGTTTTATTGATCTTCTTAAATTAGTTTTTTTGTTCATGTCAATGTCGATTAATGTTGTTGATCAATGTTGATGACAACGTTTATGATTAATGATTAATGATTAATGATTAATGATTAATGATTAATGATTTAAAAAAAAATATCTATTTTATGTAAAATTATTTAATAAAAATTCATCAAGAATCTTATTAAATAAATCTATATTATAAAATCTATATTTATATGCTTATAATTATATGCATGTATGTTTGTATTTATTATTATTAATATACAATAATATATACTAAAAACAAAATTTATTTTATTTTCAATTTTAAAAAATTTTTACGAAAAAAAAGAAAAAAGTTTTTCTATGAAAAAAGATTTTTAAAAATAATTCAACGATTATATACGAAAAATATTTTTGTGTGCTGATGTCGTTTAAATCTAATTGGTATATAAAAAATAAATAAAAACAATAATATAAATAAAATAACAAATAAAGTATTTTTAAATAAATTATTATTATTATGATCTTAAAAAGAAATCCAAATTCAAATCCAAATTTTAATAAATAAATTTGAAACTTACAAATTTAGATCAATTTAAAAAAAACCATTTTTTAAAGTTTTACGCCTACATGAAATTTTTTTATATAAATATCTATTACTATTTTTTTTGAAACGTTACGGATTATTACTATTGTTGTTGCTATTGCTATTACTATTACTATTACTATATTAATATATTTACAGTCAGGGAGATTTCCAAATTTGGACTGTAATAATCGTAATTCTAGAAAAAACATCAAAAAAAATGATTGGCTAAATTTTACGCAGATCTTTTCATTGAAAAAAATTTTTTATGAGAGCTTTATTTAAATGGTCATACAACTTCCAAAATTATGTATTATGTGTATTTTACGAGCCTACCAAAAACATCAATATTATTATCAATAAAAAAAAACATTGTTTGAGTTTTGAACAAATTCTACTACATTCAAGGATATGTTTTATAAGTCTTTGTTTTTCTCTCATTGACATTGAAACAAGGTAAATTATCTCGCCTTTTATTGGAACATTATAAAAACATTACCAATTCACTTAATTTTCAGGTAAAAAAATTCAAATAGCAAATTATAATCATCATTAAACAATTTTATTTTGGTTTAAAAACAATCAAATAATCAATAAAATAGAACCAAGAAAAAGTCAACTCAAAAATAAAATAAACAAACTTACTAGTGATAAAAACATTCAAATGAAATCGAACATCTATGGAAGGATTACAAACAATTGTTTGACAAAAAGATTGAACTGAATCCCGATTTTTCATTTAATGAAATGGTCATTGAAATTCGCCAATTACTAGGAGATGGAAAAGGAGTTGCTGCTTCC